TACCTCTGCTCTTCATGCTAATGTGTTACAGCAACTACTGCATGAAATTTCTGTGTCTTTACAGAGACTCTCAGGCTGGATCATCATTTTAGTTCACTCTTCCTTCCAAAGCCATTTTTCAGAGCAGATTCTTGACAAATCCATCATACAGGGACCTCGACTACAGCGTTATCAGAAGAGTAAGCTCGCAGCTCTTATAACTCTGCAAGCTAAATAGTTGACCTAGAGAGATTTTTAAGTGGTGCAAAATGTCAGGTTTCTTCTACTTCTACAGTTAAATGTATTTTGCCATTAGGAAATATTTCCTAAAATGCAGGGTAAGATTTCCTTCTTTAAAAAAAAAAAAAAATTAAAATAATTATGCTCTTATTTCCTGTTTTACAACCATTTTCATCACACTGAACTATTCCTCACTTTCCTTTTTACGTTTTAAAGCATTTTATTTTTTAAAATTTGCATGTTCTTAGTCCTCTTGATTCAATTTTTCCTAATGAAACAAATCTACAGAAATAATTTTTCTGAGTTATTTCTGATTATTTTACACCTTTTGGTTATTGAGTAATCTAAAGCTTTTTTTCCAAATGTAGGTGGACTAAAATTGTGTTGAAGAAGTGATTGCTATTGACTGATGCATGTGGCACTTTGCATGCTCATCTGAAAAAAAAAAAATTGCATTTTTTAAAAATCATGTTCTGTTGCAAAGTCTGATTAATTTGTAGTACATGACTGTCTATCTCCTTCATCTCTCAAGGTACTACAACTTTGTGTTCATTCTTTTCTGGTATGTATCAGCTAATTTTAGTGCAGCTGGTAAGGCTCAGGACACAGTTGTGCTCAGTGTTCTGCAACACCACCACTATGACAGACTGCAATGCAGAAGTAATGTTTTTAGCTCTCAGAAATGGTTGAAGGAATTATGCATCAGTTTAATTCCACACTGGACAAAGTGATTGAAGAATAGAAGTAGACGCATAGGTAAATGCAGTGCAAAGGGAAGAGTTAACATAGTTCTTGTAAAGGGAACAAATCTAATTCTTTGAAGGAGTTAATGACTATGATGAGGATGTTGAGCCAGTCACTAATAATGCAGATTTCAAAAAACTTTAAATAGTGTCCTCCAACTAACTCACAGAATTAGAAGAATCTGTCATGAGATAAAAAGGAAGATCCGGTTCAGCAACAAAGTAAAAAAAATAAATGGTATATTTTCACAATGGAAGAAGCCTAACAACTGAGATCCACAGAAATCTGCATGTTTTTTTCAGCATTTTCAGAAGTGATCTGAAAAAGGAAATTAAAAAGTGGCAAATTCTGGCAATGATATGAAGATATTCTGTAAGAAAACTCATTTTGAATGTTTTCAGGAGGCTGTTATGAAACTTAGTGGCTGGATAATAACAGAAGATTTGGTTTTGGTAAATGAAAATTAATGTAGCTATGCAAAAACTAACATTGCAATAGAACAGAATAGACTGTTTCACTTGGAAGGCACCTACAATGATCATCTAGTCCAACTGCCTGACCAATTCAGGGCTGACCAAGTTAAAGCATGTTATTAAGGACATTATCCAAATGCCTCTTAAACACTGGCAGGCTTGGGCCATCGACCACCTCTCTAGGAAGCCTGTTCCAGTGTTTGACCACCCTCTCGGTAAAGAAATGCTTCCTAATGTCCAGTCTAAACCTCCCCTGGCTCAGCTTCGAACCATTCTCACGTGTCCTATCACTGGATACCAGGGAGAAGAGATCAGC